CGAAAAATTCTTGGAAATTTAGATAGTGCCACCTCTTTGCCGATCATGTTCTCCTAATACTTTCCCAGTTTCGCAATTCTTGATTTTCGTAATTTGAACATTGAAATTCTTGGAAATAGTGACAAATTCTTGGAAATTTATTATACAGGGTGTCTTATGTGTGTTCTCATAGGGTGTTCTCCTGGTACTTGGCCAGTTTTCCGGATCCTCGATTTTCGCGAAAAATTCTTGGAAATTTAGATAGTGAAATGTATCTACCAGCTGTATCATAGATCAAAAACGGTATTCGTTCGAGACTAAAGCCCGTATCACACTATGGATTGAGATTGCGATTCGATTAAAATTGACCAAGGCCCGGTTTCACCAACGCGAGTTAAGCCCGCTGCAGACGATGCTATTTTTCCTGCTGGATTGCTTGCAATTTACTAAACTACTAGGAATCCTGAGTGCTGACTGGTGCAACGATAGTAATTTACTAAATCGCAAGCAATCCAGCAGGAAAAATAGCATCGTCTGCAGCGGGCTTTAATCTAATCGGTCGGTTAACTTAGCAGGGTGCCAACATAAAACTTCTTTATTAACCTATTTTCTTGGTTAATAAAGAAGTTTTATGTTGGCACCCTGTCAAGTTAACCGACCGATTAGATTAACTCGCGTTGGTGAAACCGGGCCCAATTAGGGTTAACTCACAGAGGATTTTCGTACCGTGTGATTTCACCCTTAGAGTAAAAGTTACTAAACTTGAGATTAGTAAACTTTACTGTGATTGGTCAAATTGCAATCTAATCCCAATCTCAATCCGTAGTCTGATACGGGCTTTACATCTTGGATTCTTCATGGTGGGAAGAAAGGCGGGAAAGAGGCGCGTTGCAGGTACGTTTTATGTTTGCTCCAAGTTTGCTCATTATCGTTACAGTACGTGTACGGTGTAATACTTGTACTTGCGTTTATTTGTAGACGCGCGCAGTTCCAACTCGTTGAAGATCAGCTCAGGATGGGATGTGAGAAGAAATTGTCATTCTCTACTATACATTTGTGTAAGTTACGCTCAATGCAATACTACAGAATGCACTGACGAAGGTATAAAATTAAAACTGGAAGCTGTATCCAAAGCCGCGAGGATTAAGAATCGATAATAATCATTTTCTATGTTTCAGGGAGTGGCAGTAGAGACTGCACGTTCTAGAGGACCACTATGCGTTTACGGTACACAAGAATCAGTAATCAGTATTGAATCAGAAATTGAATCAGTAATCCAACAGGATTCGAGGGGAAACGCAGGAATGGAGCCCCCACAAGAATTTCCATTTCCCTTCTCAGCGTACGGGATCCAGAAGCGATTTATGAGCGAGCTCTATGGTTGTTTGGAAGGTGGCAAGCTGGGCCTCTTTGAAAGCCCCACCGGGACGGGCAAGTCTTTGTCTCTCATTTGCGGCGCGCTCAGATGGCTGGTCGATCGCGAGATTTGGAGGAAGCAGGAGTTAACTTCGGCGATGGCGGAGATAGACGACAGAATAAAGAGCTGCGAGAAGCCATCGGATAATTGGTTCACGGTGCAGACGGAGCAGATGAAGCTCAATGCTGAGAAACAGCCGTTGCAGGCCGAGCTGAATGCCCTGCTCGAGTACGAGGGCGAGAGAGAGAAGCTTAGGAAAATGATTGAGACACGAAAGACCACGCGAGCGAAAACGACTGGAAAGATGAGGCAGCAACTTGCCAAAAAAGCTCTAGAGTCAAACAAGACGGAGGAAGCGAGCGCTGATATCTGTGACGTTGAGAAGGATCTCCTCTTGGAGGATGGATTGTCAGACCCGGAAAACTCTGAGGAAGAGGATGTGGACGAGCCGTTGTTTAAGAACACCAAGATCTTCTTCTGCTCCAGGACGCACTCGCAGCTGACGCAGTTTGTCCATGAATTGAAAAGATCCCCCTACTCTCAAGACGTTTCCGTAGTACCACTTTCGTCGAGGTATCTTTTACTGTTTCAATGTACCACTCTGCTGTTTATTAACGTTTTTTGTTATCTCGTTCCAGGCAAAATTACTGCATCAACAAGAGTGTCAAGAGGTTGAAGCACGTCAGTCTGATTAACGAAACCTGTCTTCAGCTGCAAAGAAAAAAGACCACTCTTAAGAAGGAAAAGGACCTGAAGAGATCGAAAGTCGCAAGCGGCTGCCCCTTCGTACCGGGCGATCAGAAACTACTGACGGCTGAGGTTCTGACAAGCATTCAAGATGTGGAGGAGATAACGCAGAGAGGACAGGAAAGTAACACCTGTCCGTATTACGGCTCGAGAAAATCTCTGCGAAATGGGCAATTGATATTGGTGCCGTACAACTCTATTCTTCACAAGAGCACCAGAGACAGTTTGGGAATAGACTTGAAGGGAAATGTATTAATAATAGACGAAGCTCACAATTTACTGGATGCCATCGAGGGAATGCACAGTGCTGTAATTACCGGGAGAAATCTGCTCCACTGTTACAGTCAGCTGTCGCAATATCAGAAAAGGTGTTGCTGCAGTAGATATACTTGTTTCAGTCGTTATTAAACTGTTGGATAAAATTCTTACTGAGAATAACGTGATTGCAGATTTGAGTCTTTGTTCTCTGCTAAAAGCGTGATGTATCTAGGCCAGCTGAGTTTCTGCTTGAAGAAACTTCTGACCCTCTTTGGAGCGACTGCGAAGTCTCGTCCCGGCGACGAAATCGATAAAACAATGGCACCCAGAGTGTACAAGATAGAAGAGTTCGAAGAGTTTACAGAGATGGACACGATAAACGTGTTCAAACTATTGGAATTTGTTAAAGCTTCGAAACTCATTCATAAACTACGAGGATTTGTCGAGCAGTACGGCAATAGCATCAAGATCAATGAACAAAAGATTAAGAAATCTGGTGTAACAGAATTTTTAAACTCTATTAAAAGCAACGACGTATCCCCCCAAGAAACTGTTAGCGTCGCGGAAACGTCGAGTGCCAACGAAGACCAGACGAGCAATCCATTGATGGCAATCTTGAGCTTCTTGGAGTGCTTAAAGAGCAGATGCGAAGACGGTAGAATATACGTTTTACCTGGCACTACTGTCGGGCAAGGGATTGTAAAATTTCTATTATTAAACCCAGCAGCGCATTTTTGCGATATCGGTAAATATATTGGGTACTTATTTGGAACACTGCTGTTTCACATTTATCACGTTTATTTTATTGAATTCTTTCAATTTTTTTTTCATCGCAAACCAAGTGCGAGATGCTAGATCTGTGGTACTAGCCGGTGGCACGATGGAACCAATGTCCGAGTTCATAGATCAACTGTTCTTGATGGCGGGTGCAGCACCAGACAGAATTATGACATTTTCATGCGATCATGTGATCCCCAAGGAAAATATTATATCCAACGTCGTAATGCGCGGTCCGACTGGAGTGGAATTTGAATTTAACTTTCATAATCGACAAGATAAAAAATTGGTAATAGAGAATCTTCGTTGTCTCTTTGATTACTTGCTCTGATTAGAGAGATATACATACACGTAGAAATCATTTATTTACATATATATAGGATATCTTGATATTTCACAGATTTAATCAGGATATTCACAAAGTGATGCTTTGTTTCAGCTGGACGAATTAGGTAGAGCGCTATTAAATTTATGCAACATTGTACCAGCTGGAATAGTAGTATTCTTTCCATCTTACAACTATGAAGATACGGTATTTAAGCATTTAGATAAATCTGGTATGATATCCAAAATTTCTGCCAAGAAACGTATCTATCGCGAACCGAAATTGGCATCGCAGGTATTTTTGTTACACATTTATTGATAAATCACTAATATGTGGCTGTTATTATTTAATTTAAATTGTTAAACATATTGTCTGTAGGTCAATTTAGTATTAGATCAGTATGCACATTCCGTTAAGAATCCACAACTTCCGTGTAATGGAGCGTTGCTGTTCAGCGTAGTAGGTGATTATAAATTAGAATTGTATCAGTGTTGCAGGAATCCTGTGTTTGCATATTTTACAGGTGGTAAATTAAGCGAAGGTTTAAATTTCTCTGACGATTTGGGCCGATGTGTTATAGTCGTTGGCTTGCCCTATCCCAACATCAAGTCACCCGAGTTACAAGAGAAAATGAAATATTTAAACGCACACGTTGTACGTATACTCAAATGCGATCCTTTATCACAGAGCTTGGAGAGTACAGTTTAATTTTATGCGAGTTTTAATATCTTTTTCGTTTCTCTAGAAACCGGACGCCGGAAGTAGCTTTTACGAAAACTCTTGTATGAAAGCAGTGAATCAATGCATTGGCCGATCCGTCCGTCACATCAATGATTACTCAACGGTTGTGTTGTTAGACAAACGTTATTGTCATAAAGTCAAGGTGCTACCTCAATGGATTCAACGCTCCGTGACGATCAACAATTCATTTGGACCTGTGATTGGTAGCATCGCAAAATTTTTCGCAGCGAAAAAATTGATGAAAGATAAACCTGTGATAAAAACCGAGTAATGCGTCGGTAGATTAATTAGAAATTAATATGTTTATTAATAATAATAGCTGTAATAATTTTTTTAGTACCAGACCACTTGTGATAATTTAATAAAAGTGCGTCTAAGGATATATTTGTTTTTAGTAAATACTTCACGATTATAGTATCACGACGAACATTTTCCGCGACAGACTCGTTGTTCTAATGTAGAAATGCCGTCACATATAATTAGCCAGTTGGATACCGAATTTGTAAATTAAGTCGTGAGAATAGATTTCTCCGGGTTGTAGAATAGAACAGGGGAAATGTGACTGAAAGAAATTAACTTGTGACTTAACGAATACAATAAGGAACATAAATGATCAACGTCTTATTCCCTTAGCTACTCACATAATTAATGGCGTTTGGATAGTTTTGCGGTTGAATGCTGAAAGCACAGTGCTTCACGTAGCGAGCACCTTGCTTCCCTGAAATAAATTCGAGCGACTCGCGTTCAGGTGTCACATCTTTTTCCATCTGATCAGTCTTTTCTCTCTCATAATCCTCTTCGCGATTCGGGCTGTTGTCGTATTTAACAACAACATCGCTATTAGCCTGAGATAGCGTTATTCCTCGTATTATTTCAAGGCAGATTATGAATTTCGATTATCGTCGCATTCACACTACCTCAGAAATACTGCCTAGACGGCCGCCTGTATAGAACTGTACGCCAGGCTGATTCGAGTAAATCTCCAAGGCGCTACACACGTTTATTTGTAATTTCAGGATATTCATATCGTATCCGTGCTGTGAGTGATACAAATTATGAGCCTTACCGACCGCTGTTCGGATGAACGGCTCGAGCGACATATGCATTACCTCCATGCCAGTTCGGCGTGACGCAATAGTTATGATCGTATCCCTCACCCGGGGGAACCTGTAGCTTGTATAAATTTACAATGTCTTTTTTTTATACAGGTTATTAGATTGCGATTCATCTACTGTAATTCTGTGAACTTCAATTTTATGCCTTCTCTATGCAGCTCTCCAGAAGTTTTGGTACACGCAGATCCATGACGGTTCCTCCGACTCCTCGGATGCTGCCGGTTGGTACCGGGTCCGTGTAATCCGCGAAGGTCCAGCGATCGCAGTTCAACGAGATCTTGTGCTTCATCAGTTCCTTCTTACCGGCGTCCTGCATTTTACACCCGAATAAATCGAACTGTTATATTATCGGTACCTTGAAGCTAGAGCCATGCCATTCTCTAGTTTAGAAATGGAAGTAAGAAAATGTAATTAAATTATTATTCTCTGCATTTCCAGGATGGTTCCAGCTTCAGTTACGCCGACACTGCACAGAGCGCTCGTTAATTACGTGTCCAGCGAGGTTGAACAAAGAACCGTGCGAGATGTTCACTATAGTAGAGTTCGTCGTTGTCGCTCGGATACCTATTTCCAGTTTATTGTCAGGCATCAACCTGAATCTCACTGTGCTCAATACTGCACCAGGATATCCCTCTTCACCGTCTGCGCTTAAGTAAGTCATGACAACTGAGCAGCCATCGATATGCGACTCCCACAATCGCCGGCCGAAACCCTTCGTCTAGAACGGGGAGAGACATTCAGTGTCACTAAACGTTCTTGAATTAGATCGGCGAGACAATAAACGACTTACACCTCCGTGCAAATGATGCTTGCCGAGATCGTTTCTCGTTAGTTGATACGTTTCGCCTTTAACGACAATACTGCCGTTTCTTATGCGATTCGCACATCTGCCCAATATACATCCTATAAACGGATTAATCCTGGCATTCGTATAGCCTGGGAAACAAGTCCTGTTAGTCTCGAATAGAATTAATTAAGGTCGACGAGATCTAAATGTATTTATGAGATCTATGTAATTACGTCAAGAATTCGTACTCTTCAAATCATCGAAACCGAGCACGATATCCGCGACATGCCCGAACTTATCGGGACATTTTACAGAAGCGATCGTGGCACCCCAGGAAATAACGACAATCTCCAAGCGATTCTTATTGATCATCGTATACGATTTTACTGGCGTCAACTGGAGTCCATTGCTTTGGGCATCTTCGTAATATTCGTCACCGTCACGACGTATCTTTTCCTCCGCGGATTCTGTAATTGGGAACGGCTTTTAAGTAATTATTACCGCGACCAAAAAAAGTCGGGCTCTCTTTGTGAAGTGACAACACACCGATATAAATTTCTCCGAATATCCCCTCCGTAATTGCAATATCCTTGCAATTGCAATCGTAGGTGACCATGTTTCGCTTCCGAACGTTATTCAGTTACTGTCAAGCCATTTGTTGTATACCTAACGCGATAAAAACAAGGAATTTGGCTGTTACAGTTTTCTATCTTTATCGAACGACTCGTCACATTAGTTTTCTGAAATGAGAATAACGATAAGTAAAATAGGTTACAAAATATTATCCCGACGTTTTAAAGACCTTTCATTGTTTCGATATGGGAACATCGCATTATTTTTCTGTAAAATGATACTCAACCTACCCGTGTGAAAATTACTTATTTTAAATTATATACTTAAAATTAATTTTTAATTACTTTGCAGGCTGAGCCGAAGTTTGGATAACAATTCTAAGTTGTTGAAGAGTTTCGTAGGAATATTTGTGGAAAACGCAAAATGATCGTCCATAGAGCTAAAACTATTGATGCTGTTATTTGAAATGATTTATTAATATAATATTAATAAAATAATCATAAGGAAAAATTAAGAGTAAGTATAACACATATTATTTATAATTCGTAAAACATTACCATAGTAATAATATACTAAAATAATAAAATAATAAACCTACTTTATTATTATTATCATTTTTATATACTCCAGTTAATATTTATAATTTTTAATATTTATAATTAATATTTATAGTGTAATGTACAGTAATTGGAAAAATACATGAACTTTTAGTGCAGGTCAGACATGATACAAATACTTGTTCTGAATCTCGAGTTGTTCGTTAGGAGTAGAGACAACACATTAAAAAATCGAAGACAGAATATATTATTACGATATATTTTCCGCATTTAAACAATCGAGCTCTCGGGAATTTGTCGTGAAATTAATATATATTTATTCTCGTCTGTTATATCATTTCACTCCCTGCTTGTAGATAAAAACGATCCTGCGCGACTTCGCTCGTCGTGCTTGGCAATCTACACATCGTCGCCCAGGAGATCGATAAAAAAATTCGATTCCCGAATGAAAAGTAAGTATTCCTCGACTCTCGCGCGATAATCGCCGCTGTGAAAGTTATTATGTTACATTGAAGAATTTCCCGTCGAAAGCTTTGAGTTTTCGCGATGTTTCTCGTTTACTTTAAGGCGCGCACCGAAGCGATTCATTATTCTCACTTAAATACACGTGGAACACATTGCACTTAGCTTAAACATACTTAGAAACTACAGAGTTACTCCATGCTTAAATGAATTGCCTGCGACTTGACGAGTTGCGTCCTACGTTCTTTACAGTTCATGTATTACAAAAGAATACCGGCGGAAAAAACTTAATTTCGTATTTATATGTATATACCAAACTGTGATAGCCCCGCGCCGATAAATCGTTTATCATATTTATGAAATACATTACGTTAAACTTTCTACACACGCCAGAAGCGTACAAAGAGGAGCTACCACAGCACAGACTGTGTGTACATCGATGAGACAATTCGTTTACAATTAATCGTCTTGGTCGTGGTCGTTATTGTACAATTTGCTAATTTCGCGCAAGCGGCATGCAATCTTAATACAATCCGTTACGTCGTAAAGTATATATATTTACACTTTTTAAATGCGACATCAGAAACAGCAGTTCAGAGAGCAACGGGATCCTGTAGTATCATATGTTCCACGAGGCTGATGAGTATTTTTTTTTGTTTCAGTGCCTTGATTCGGTGATGTCCACTCGTTAGGTCTAACTAAACTAGTGAGGACTACATTGTAAACGTGAGTTGCATATCGTATATTACATAAAAACAAGTGTTAAAGAGAATCTCGCATTACGTTTGCGGTTCACATCCGTATGTTCGTTTCCCCTACGTAAATTTCATAAATTTATCTTGTATCAAAGAGAGGGTGCGTCGTGTATGTAACAAATGGCAGAGAGAAAGGGAATAAAAGTATGTAAAAATATTCAGTATTGTACATCGAATATTTAACGTCGAAAGCATTAATCGTTTAAAGGAAGAAATTTATTTCCCTTATATAATTTTAAGTCCCATAAACTAGCGTTACATTATATCAAGAAGATATCTAAAGGAAAATTATAAATTACTATCATTGGTATATGTTATTAATGTATATCATACGAACGATACATGATAAATTTATTGAGTTTTTTTTTACAGCGAGATATATTTATAGACTGATATGTATACATAATGATATATGTATACATATATATATCATCACATATATATATCGGAGACCTTATAGTTGCATTTGATATGATACAACGTAATTTATCTCACGTATGTATTTATATGTATATGTATATATGTATATATAATTTTTATATATACATATGTATATAGAATTATTCTGAACACACGTCCCTTATACACGTTCTGCCCAACGAGTCAAACATATTCCGTAAATACTCTCTAATAAAGTATAAAATCGGATTCTTATCTCCTTAATCTCTACGCTAAGGTGTTTGTTATATATATAAAAAATAAATATAGCTTAGACTAGCACTGTCGGCGACGGATACGCCATTACACAATAATAGCTGCCGCGAACATTTTATATTTTTGTATAATTAAAAATTATATAATTATTATCGTGTGTATATATACGTATGAACAATTATTCTCAAATATCAGCATTCACTAACACTTCATCAAACATTCTCTCTCACGCTCGCGCATACATACACACACACACACACACACACACACACTCTCTCTCTCTCTCTCTCTCTCTCTCTCTCTCTCTCTCTCTCTCTCTCTCTCTCTCTCAATTACCTTGGAAGCATTTTGAATTTCTATGTGTCACTTATTTAACGTATTTAAGTACGTGATATTAGCACCGCAGAAATACCTTCGCACAGCGTAGAAAGATATACTCATTAAATGTATTGCAAGAAAGAGATAATTCGCCCATTGCCCGTATAATTCGATAAAATTATCACATATATGAAAAGAGAAGAGTCAATTAATATTGCAAGTTTTCTTTTTTGTAAAATGCGTAAACGTAATGTTCGACGGCTCCACGTTTTTCTGCCTAAGAAAGACTTCGGAGTCATCAAATGTATCTCTCAGTTGCCCTTGTAAAATTATCTGCCAGAAAAATGTCATTGGTAACTGATTTTCTGCTCATTCTTCTTCGCTATAGTCAAACGTACACGGTAAAACTACCAAGAAAAAGAATCCTCTTTCTTCTAACACATTTCACGTATGTACATCGCACAACATACATCTACAATACTGATGATCGTCATTTAGGAAAACAGTGTAAACGAGAAGCAGCTTTCACGACGAAGAAGATAAAAGAATCCGTGACTTCGTTATACGCTACGTGAGGTTGATACAGTACAAACAAGACATTTTGATTGCTTCGAATGCGGCGTAAAGATAGCGTAAGTAACTTTGATTAGTTTACAAGGTTCAAAACTAAATTCGAGCGTTTCTCCCCTATCATCTCGTAATGCCAATAGATTAAGATTACGTGCGTCGCGTTCTAATACATTACTCAGCGGTTCGTATGTACATTCGGGGCACGTAGAGCACGCAGCACGAGGTACGCAAGCGTTTTTAATATTAATATAGATTCTGAACGATATCAATCGAAGAAAGGTGGCGGAGACTCGCTCTCCCCCTCGACACGCTTGATTCGGTACCCCGTATTGCCGCATCGAGATACTCGTTATTGGTGCAATGCGGCGCGAAGATATCCACGAAGCAGACCCGACGCCTTTGTCTACATCTCTCGGGGGAGCGTCGTGGACGTCGTACAACACGCGTCAGCTGTATAAGGAATGTATTGAGTAGTCGCTACTTGAACATTCAGCGTTTCCTTCTTTGCTATATATACAACGTTCATTAGAAGAATCTTCGTTCCACAACGATTCTACCGAAGAATACACCTCGCGTTTTGCACAGCTGCATGTTGTGTATTTATCTGCACGCGACTCACGCTTTAGATACTTTCTACAGACGCGCGGTTCGCTCGCGTAGAGCGGCGCACTGTTTTCATAAGGTACAAAAGAAGCGTGACAGCTGCGCAAGGTGCGACCGTTTCATCATGTATCGCTACGACACATATAATTCACATTTAAACGTCGAAGATGCTTACTGTACACGTCCTCCGCATTTTACTAAGCGTACTTATCAATCGATACACTTCCGAATTACGTCGACTTACGCGACCGAGGGGTGGAAGTACCTGGGGTGGATGTATTAATCGTGTACATCTCTCCAATTGTGCATTGCAACAGAACGACGATGAACGTATCATTGAGCAGAGGCACTATTTTAACAGCGGCACAGCAACATTTTCCTTTTCATCAGCACACGAATCTCTTAAAGTTACAGAGACACCATACAAGTCCGCAAACAGGAGTGTTGAAAAAAGCGAGTATATCGACAATGTAGACAGTTCTGTCTAATTTCTTAATTTAGACGACCATCACGAGAGACGAAGGAAAATGGAATCGTATCGCTATCAAAATGACAATGGTACAACTTGAAATACAATTACAATGACTAGTTACACTGATTGCGATGAGAAGGAGAGAGATTATATCGGAAATACTGTATAAGATTAATACGTAATCGCGGGAAAGTTCGGCTAAGTACATAATACTACAACTAATACTTTGTAGCTGTCCGTATTCTTGTAAAGTACATAAAATTAGATTATAAATAGTGATTGTTCTTCAGCTCGAACCGATTGATCCGTCTAAAAAAAAAATACAACCGTAACGCATCTCTATTAATATACAATACTCGAGCTGCCATTGCGTATTTAGAATTAATTGCTCGTTTAAGTTACACAAAACGCACGAAAATCGATACAATTTTTCACTTGCTGCCGGTACCTCCTAGTAGGAAAATTAAAAGTAAAATCGTCAAGTATACGCGTTATTTAAACGCACAATATCTGACAAAAGTTCAGCACGCAAAGAAAGCCTATCCTCGTCCTAACTGGACCAGCTTAAACAATGCGGAATTGACGTTCACTCCGTTGGCATCTATCACAAACTCTGGGAGAAGTAACGTCGGGGAGACTTTCGAGTATCGAAAAGCGCGAGCATCTAAGCTCGCATCAATTCAAAGTCCGACGAAGTGGTTAATTCCGCACTGCGTAGAGCAATTCCTTACGTTCCAGCAAATCTCCTTGGAATGTTTTCATTATTGCGCCAAGCCGAATATCACCAGAGTTTCGTTACGCAAGGAACATACCGAACGTAACTTCGTACTAAATGCGAGAAACAACTTACAACTTTCGTTACGCTGAGATACGATTTCAATATCGAAAGCGAATACGCCATTACGCCGCTAATGCGGTAGTTGCCGAAGAAAAGAACGCCCGTCTTCGTTCCCTTCCGTAATCTTACTAATGGAATTGTATATTACATACATACACATCCTGATAAATTCTCTCTATCTCGAAATGCTCATATAACGCGCTTCTGGAATGTCTCGATAAACCACAAAGAACCGTCAAATTGCATAATTTCGACTGATGATTTGCTTATTCAACGATATCGTTACATAGACTGAGGCAATTATTACTTTCGGTACCTCAAAAGTCGTAACAGAGGATTTGTCTAACAAAAGTTGCATGCTATACAAAACGTCAGCCTATGACGATAACTTTTATTTTCCAAGTCGCCTACGAGATCTAAAACTTTTCATCTCTTTAAATTAATTTAATTTAATATATTATCTTTAATACATATATATTTTGTTAATTAATTTTTAATTACCTGATTAAAGATTAATTAGTATGCAATTGTCTTCAACATATAAAATATACAATAGAATTTTAAACGATATTATGGTAATAGTTATTACCTCATTCTATATACAAATTATCATTGATTGGGAGAATATTGGTATACACGGTATCTCCCGTATGCATCAATATTCTATATTAACTGTCAATCTGTGAATTTTGCATCAGCGTCAAAAGGAAAATCAATTCTATTTTAATCGAAGTCTCTGTTGTTAACAGTTGAAACGGTAAAATACATTTTATATTCTACAGAAAAGTATCTATTCTCGGAGTAATATGCAATTTGAATATATATATATATCACGACGCGTTGCAATCTTCGCCCGTGCTACATGTACACGCGTATATCAAATATCATTAACGTTACCAAATTAAAAATCCGCCCAATCACGTATTACGCTACGTTTTACGTGGACTGTGTGTTGTATGGAATGTTGATTCCCAGACTTGTTAGTGAACTGCTATCATCGTCCGCGGGAGGCAGTGCTTCGATAACGTACAATTCGTTTTGCAAATTCTTCTTCCGGTCGACGATCATAAGGTTACGTAATCGCGATTGTATAATCGGAGGCGTAAAGAGATCGGATCCTAGGACTACCATTCGCTAGAAATATCGATAAATTGATAAAATATCGACGAACCCGCTCGGTCCAGCTGGTTCCACATGAAAGGGAGCCGCGCGGCTTTAAATAAGCCAGTGCTATGACAAGAATTCCCTCTCAAGCTCCGAGATGCTCGGTTTCCTGTTTCGATTGAGCCGCCGATTGGCCTGCAACGGCACCGTGGAATCCTGGCTCTGACCGTGAACCGGGATGTCCAGCAGAGTTTCTCTGTGGACGTCGCGCGCGGACACGCCGTCGCGATCGAACGTCACCGGCGAGAAACGCACCCGGCTGATGGAGATCTGACTGTCCTTGGCGGAGACGTAGCTCGAGTCCTCGGACGTGAGCGAGTCCGGCGGCGTCGGATTCGTCGGTGTGCCCGAGCCGGAGTTGTTTTTGCTCACGCTCTTGCTCGGCGAGTTGTACGGATTGTAACTGGACCGTTTCAGGCTCGAGCGCAGCCGCGTCACCACCTCCAGGTTGCTCGGCCGCTCGCCGGAATTGGAGTTGGAGTCGTGGGAGTTCTGGCGTGTCAACAACGGCGAGCCGTATTCGTGATTGAGTATGCTCGCGCCGTACGTCGTCGCCAGGTTGGATATAACGTTCGAAGGTCGCTGGTAATACGGTATCGGCGAGTACACGCCGTAGTCGTCCTCGTCCTCCAGCCGGAACGTCGGGTTGACGTTGCTCTGGCTCGACGTGCTGGCGTTGGAGACGTTCGACGAGGTGCGGTGATGCGTGTAAGGCAAAAGCCTGGACACCGGCCTGGCCGGGCTGTTCATGCTGCTCGGATTGTCGTACGCGTGCGGGAACTCGGGGCACTCGAGCATCCGGTCGCTGAAAACAACGAGAAGTCTCTTATTGATCTGACACCGCGCTCCTCGTACTACTCTGTCGTGCGACTTTGATTTCCCCAAGTCGGTTTCCAAAACTGTCTCTACAATCTAAAAGAAACTAATTCGGCCAAGTTCATTCGTACGCCACCTAAAGTTCCATCAGCGATTTCGCGACTATTCCGATACGTATCTTATTAATACTCACTGATACTCCGCAGGTATGAAATACGTCGGTTCAGGGGGCCGATAATACTCCGGCGGTACGACGGTGTACATTGGCGGCCCGTAATCCGGGAACGGGGCGACGTTCCCCATGTATATCGTCGGCACCCTCTCTATACGATCGACGCGGGCCGCGTCGTGCGAGTACGCATCCTCGTTGCTGGTGCTGCTGCTGCTCTTCCTTCTCGGGCTCGGCGTCGGGGCGTTGGAACCCGTCGTGCTGCTCGTGTAATGCTGTGGGGAATCTGTAAAGCGCAACGGCTTGTCTGGCATCGCCACGGTTGGAAGGCCGGGCGCTATGCCACCCATGTTACTCAGGAACGGTCTGCAATGATAATTGCGTCAACCTACGTGAATAGAGTAGCTGTCGTTTCATGCGTAAGCTAAACTAACCAACTACCTTTGCATAATATCACTTCCTCTTTCCTTTAAAAAAGAAAAAAATATATATATATATTCTTTTTCTGCCAGATTACCTGCAATGGTGTGCCCGTCCGTGATAAGTGTTGTGCGGATAGCCGCTGCTCGAGCTGAACTCGTAATCGGCGCCGAGGTAGGAGTTGCGATTCGATCCGGTGTCCGCCTGAAACCACCACCTTGGCTGATCCTCGTCGCACTCGCCCGTCCGTGGGTACAGGCGCGGATGTATCGGGGATATGTTCGACATTCTCACGTCGTAGCCGGTGGCCACGCCGGCCAGCATCGCCGCGATGTTGTACAATACCAGCTCGACTATGCTTAGCTTTGGTTTTTTCGTTTCGCCGTTGTAGAGGGTGGGCATGGGAACGGGCATCGGCATGATGTAGGGCCCGGTCAGCCCGGGCTTCGGAGGATACTCCGACGTTATCCAGTCGGCCGACAGGTCGGGCGGTAATGCTGTATAATCTATAAAAGACATTCAGGTTGTGTTTTTTTCTTTTCGACAGGCGATGACGGGCGCAGCACTCGCACGGTCCGCTCGCGAGAGTAATAGGATCGTTAAAGCGAATCTACAAGGATAACTGACGAATTAACTTTTCATTCGTAAGAGCGTAACGTACGCCCCTTGTTTCACTTCCCGCTCTTGAAACTCGTAAGCAAGATCGGGAAAATGTACCGCTTACCTTGTCCACGCGATTAATTGAATCTCTAATCAATATCGTATTTGGGCATTTTACATTCAGAACTTGGACTGTTTAGTAGCGCGACAATCCGCATCCTTAGTCATCTTATTAACTAATTATTATTATTATTCATGCATGCAAGCAGGTAAAAATGTAAAAAAAATGTATAATCAAGTATTATCTTCACGCATTAGTTGTTTCTACTTGTCTGGCACTAGGAACAAGCCCCGTTAAAAGGTACGCACCGATATTGTACAGCGTACAAGGCATGTATCAAAAATTGGCTAAGTCAACAGGTAATTGGTAATCAAACACATCCTTTTAATCTCTTTGTATTTCACGTGACGTTTTCAATTTCATGTACCTTGACTGCAGATATCGGGCTTGGCCAATTTTTACAAATAGAAGCAAAGTTCAACGCACAAGATAAACGTTTTCTACTAATCTCTGTCGTAATGTGTAGACTTCGTGCGATACATACTACGTTCAAAGTTGTCTAGAGGTAAATCCGAAAGGCATTGTGACTCACATCTAAAATACGGAGCATTCCAAACGCTACTTAGGATAGTCTGCAATTAATCGGACAAATTACTGTTACAGATACTGTCTTGTAGACTTTCTACTTACGAACGTTCTTTTTCTCATTTCGCCTGTTCAACTCTCTCCCGACTAGAAACAAAAACGACTAGGAACAAAGTCACATGAAGCCGGATTTAACCGTAGCAGAGAAGCGTTCACGACCAGACGGGTAACGTTTGCGGCTCCTATTTCTCGCAACTTGTCAAAAAACGGAACGTAACACGCGAGTAATATTTATACTCATTAGCGAGCCTAGGACCTGAGGAGGAGAAAGGAACCAAACCCAATCGGAGTTAACAGTTAGGATCCTACTGGAAGCATGCAAGGATTATTTTTTTTTTACGCTCGGCTGTCTCTTTCTTGGCACACTGTATAATTCCGTTTACATCACACGGCACAGTCGTAAGCGACGAATGTACAGTCCGTTGTACTCTTGATTATGAATAAAAAAAGAAATAATCGTCTAAAATTCCTACAGGTGTGCACGAGAAAAGGGCGGTACAAGAAATATATTATTCCGACAATCCGCCGCCGTCGGCTATAAGAAAGCAATTATCGTCACAGACCGAGCGTAAAAAAAATGCAGCAAAACGAAAAAACAAAATTCAACGTGTCCAACTGAAAAGGTTTTATTGAAAAAAATTTCTATTTCTAAATACAAGTGTGTGCGTGTGGGCTCCGTGTATCGAATGTGACGTGTGCAAAAAATCTTTGCTCTCGGAAACGTTGGAAGTTTGGCATAACAAATAGTACAGAAACGAACAATTCGCTGGAAGTATTTAACAATTAATTAAATTTGCAATCGATCTAAATGCACATAAGACAACGAAATAAGAAGGGGGCTACGTTAACAAATATATACTTTCTCTCTTTCTCTCTCTCTTTCTCTCTCTCACTCTCGCTCTCTCGCTCTCTTCATATACCTATACAATATATGTGTGTGTGTGTGTGTGTGTGCGTGTGATGTAATTTTGATTTCGTTTCATTTAATAAAATTATGACTATGCAGACATACAACCTGACAACGCTCCAATGTGAAAACAGTACCGTTAAAGTTGAACTTTGCGGTAATGGACGAAGCGTGTGACTCTCTTTCGCGTAGTAGTGGGCTGTTAGATCTGCTTGTTAGAAATGTTATGTCTTCCAGATAAATATCAGAAAAGAACCAACACCAGAAAGACTGTGTATACATATATATATATATATATATATGTGTAATATATATATTCTTTTTTTTAATATTATTAGATTTTAGCTTACTCGGACTACGAGTATCACATCGGCTTAAATTAGGATAAATAATTCGTAAATTATATAACGCGTACGGGGTGAAGGGAGGGAGTAAAAAAAAACGAAAAGAAACAAGTCCGTGCCCTCTGCATAAACTTTTCAGGGGTGCGTCCACGCTCGATATACTTTCGATAGTTCAAAAGCCCTCGTAAATGCACCACGCGTTTCTCGTCGTAGAGTGGGGGGTAAAAAGGTGAGGGGGGGGGGGAGTTAAACTTAAATTTCTAAAATCCTGGTCCCTTACCGAATCTAATCCAAACCACCTCGCAAGTCTGAATAAGTTCACGCTGCACAGGAGACCCGACAAAACGATCTGGGAATATATTATAATGGACGCGAGACGTAGCGGGATTGGGGCCAACGAAATCAGACGTCCACGAGAAGTCCGTACAGTTCATCCAGAACGAAGTCTAATTGCATCGTCCACAAAACGAATTGGCGGAGACAATGGGAGAAAGACACTGTCGATCATCGGTGTACGCATGCATTATCACTATGTGATCAACCATTAAGCGATAGCTAATAACTACGTGATCAGGCGATTCATTGCAAAAACGTTCAGTTACGAAAGTAAAAGAGACATCGTCTACTTGAGATCTTTGCCTTGGCTTTACAATACGCAATACAAACCGTCGTTAGATTAAAAAATAATAATAAAAGAAAAGGAAAAGATCAAAAGTTCGAAACAAAAGTCTAGATAGGAGGAAACTAGGGTGGATGGAGAGAACATTAATGAAGAAGTATGACGTAACAACTGTTGCGTGAAGAGAAAACTTACGGGTGTGGTAGATGCTTTCCTCAGAGAGGCCTGCGATAGAATAGAAACACACGATCAGTACCAGAGTCATTCAAATACCATGTAGGGAGAAATGTGCGGCGAAAAGGAGGCATGCCATCGAAATGCGTTTCGAGCTGCAGGCTCTACTTGCGTTCCTGCGGGATACAGGGCATTCGTGACCAGGGCTGCGCTTTCTTCGCGACAGATCGCGGACACTAGGCGCGCGCGTGCGATCCCCTCCCCCGGGAGGAATGGGAACCGAGTTTTGGAATTGTTGGGAGATTGAAAAAGCGCAGCACGCACGGGAACGCCCTGTATGTGTGCAAAAGTCGCGGGAGTACATCCGTTTTGGTCGAAGCCGCCGCGAACGACTACTTGTCGCCCTTCCTCGGGTATTGTTCGCCAGCGAATTTCTTAGACACGACGTCGGTATCTTCGGAGGTCGAGCGACAGAAACCGGTGTGATCCGGGGGAGACGCGGGCAGACTTCTCTTTGGACTGTAATTGGCACGCGGGCTCTGATGATCGTTCCCCTCTTGGAGGCAACCAGGCGACGTTTGCGCGACGCTGTCGCCGTCGCAGCTGCGCAAGTATTCGTTACTTCTGGACTTGTGATGCGAAAAGGAATTCATCTCGATGCCGTAGTCTAAGCGGTACGCGGGGACGGCGGGGATCGGGTTCGCGGGCGACACGTCCAACTCGAAAGCGGTCGGCGACCTTTTGTGCCTGGAGCCCGCCGTCGTCGTCTCGTGGTACGGCCCCAACGAGCTCTTGGACCTCGAGCTGTCGTTCGAGTGCTCCGAGTCAAAGTTGCACAGCTCCGACTCGAGGCTCTCGAAGTCTATCCCCTCGCGTGAGTTGGCCGCGAGAAACCTGGGCACCGCGGCGACGCCGGCGTTGCCCAGCTGCTCGCTCGAATCGCGACGGCCCAGTTGCGGCATGGATATTACGTTCTCCAGGACACTGTACTCCACTTTAACCGCGACGGCTTTGTCGTCGAGCGCGTCCCGGCTGCCCCACGTCTTCATCTTATTCAACACCCGCAGCGGGCTCTTGGAAATGCGCGACTTGTGCTGGGACTGCTGGCTTTTGCCGCCGATCGAATTCTCGGGGCTCGACTCCAGGCCGTCGTAGTCGTTAATTTTGATGGTGACCGAGTTCTTTCTCTCGCCGCTACGCGGTGAATTGAGGGAGCTCTTACGCGAGCCGGACGGCGACCGGAAGAAATCGGCCAGGGACGCCAGCCGCGATTCCGAGCTGTCCCGGCGCTTCGACTCCTTCGACTTACTCCTGTCGCGCTTCTTACTCTTGACCCGCTTCGCGGTGCCCACCAGAGTGGACGCCACGTTCTGCACGAAATTCGTGGAGTACGAGGGCTCCCACTCGGGCGGCCTTTGGCACTTGGGCGACGTGACTTTCGAGACTACGCCCCCGGTGGCGGCCGCGCGGTGACCTGCCGCCTTCACCGGGTAATCGTCGTTGATTATCGAGGGCTCCTCCGAGAAATGGGCCTTAAGATTGTTCGGGGGATTTTTGTTATGCAGGACTACGGACTCGTATATGTCGTTATCCACAATGACAAAGTCCTCGCCGATGTCGCAGAACGCGCCCAGCGCGATGCTGTCGAGCGAGCTTTGCGGCATATCGTTATAGCTACTACATCCTGGCTGATTGTCTATCAGGTTATTGGCCGAGGAGTACAATTTTCTGGTGGTAGGGTTACCTATTTCCTGCAGAAGCGGGGAGCGGTGCGCGTTCGCCAACAGGGCTGTACGCAGAGGTGTCTTTTCGAGATCTGGCGCGGAACGGGACCAGCCTTTGCCGCCAGGGGAGGCGGGGAGGAGTGGCGGCTGGGGAATAATAGCCCCGCGCTCACGTTGATGAAGCGTCGACGGTCCCCAAGTCTTACCCTTAACTCCGTCCGCCGGTACTAAACGGGGAAAGAAAAAGAAACAAAGTGCTACTCACTACGATACTAACTACTCTCTTCGCATCTCCCTCGCTTATTCAGCGCGGAGATGAAGCTTCTTTACGGATATACTCTTCGAAAAGCGACTCTATCAAACGGTAATGTAAACTGTGCACGCTAATTTCAGCAATTGAATCAGTACGTTCTATAATAATACATTAGCTCAAAGTAATCGTGGTTTTTGCAAGAGTAGAAAGAATAAAACGGAAGAGTATCCATATGTTTGAAATAATAATAATAAAAAAAGGGAAAAAAACAATGATTGTGCACACCATGCCGAAAAAGATATCGACACGAATAAAAGTACAAAGTGTCTACCACGTACAAACAGTGTTACATTCAAATTGTTCGATTACGGTTCCAATACGTTTGATTCGCTCGTAAAGTCACTCATATTGCACAATACATCGTCATAATCACGGTACTACTAAAAGCGGTATCTCGACGTAACAAGCTACTCACATGCGATCGCTCTGAGCCTCGGAATGCTGGGCGAGCCTGGAGGACTGTTCGGCCGCGACGGGTTCCTCACTTTGCCTCGGTCGGCCAAGGCCGTGTCCTGAACGGTGATTGTGTGACGAAAATCTAAATAATACGCCCCCGTGTTAAATTCACGTTTAACATGTGTACGCTTCAGGCAGAAAATACAAAGATAAATCTGTGAGCGATCCGTCGATCGCCCACGGATCGTAGCGTAAGAGTGCGGGAGAGACGGATGACGCTCTTACCCGAAGGGGCGCTAATATTGCTTCCCGGCTCCTTCTTATTCAATTTTAATCGCGACTTCTTAAATTTGCCACGTCTCTTGTTCGGCGTAGGCGTGTTTTGCTGCTGGATGATCATCACGGTGAGCTCCCTCTCCAATATGGCTATCTCGCGGGCGGCCAATTCCTGTTCCCGCTGCTTCAAAAGCTCCTCGTTCTGTTTCTGTTGCACCTGTGCCTTCGTCAATTCCTCTTCTCTACAGCGCAGCTCCTTTTACGAGTACGAAAGAAAGCACGCACGTCAGAAAAATTTATTTACTCGAAATGGCACAACTGTAATCTTTAATAGACCTTTCGTCGTATTTGCTCTTACAGTAATTTATTTTCAATTAACAAAAAAATTGAGAAAATAAATACACAATTCTCTAACAACGATATCGTTACCAACTCTTTTTTTCTTACCTCTTCTAAAGAACGGCATGCCTTTGCAGAGCGTTTAAAATAACGATTGGAAATGTTATTCATTATGCATATTTGTATACACGTACATATATATAGGATTCAAAGTTGCACAATTATATGGTGCGTTTACACGAAAATGGTTTGATATGCGAGGGTAACGTTAAACGGAGCCGCGTACCTTTTCCTTCATGCGCAATCCATGCAGAACTTGTTCGATCTCCAGCCTCCAATTCTCCTGCATTGTGTGAAAAGATTCGTGTGGCGTCGCCGCGAATGCACTGCGCACCTCGTCCAGAGCCACCAAGATGTCCATGAATCCCGGCCGAGCATGGCTGTCCGATGCCCAGCACGCTGTGCAACGATCGCTTTCAGTATTATACCCGTCCAGGGCGCACAACAATTTCAGCAGAAATATCTCGAGCTCGCTTAGGTGCTACGAATCTTTTACCTTCCATGAGGAGACTCCATGGCTGAGGGCAGGTAGATGGTATAGGTAGAGTCAACTTATTGACAGCAACCCCGTACGCTACAGCCAGAGCGTCGATACCCTTGTACGGTGTCTCCCCGGTCAAAAGTTCCCACAGTAACACGCCGTAGCTGTTAATGAACATTTCAAATACTTTAACAGAAGGCGCGCGCGCGCAATCGAAGAAACGACTATAAGATTCTCTTGGAATGTTAGGTCTTTAAGTAACAAATTCGCCAACGGGGACTGACCTCCATACGTCGCTAGCTTTGCTGAAAGTACTCTTTTTAATCACTTCCGGCGCCATCCAGGCGTACGTGCCCGCCGCAGACATACGAGTCGTCTTGTAGACCTCCCTCGCCAAACCGAAGTCCGTGATCTTCAGGGTCTTATATTGGAAGTCGTCGTTTTCAATCGGCTCGCTCAGCAGCACTGCCGACGTAGAAGAGAGATTATTAACAATAAGAGCAACAAAATCTCGCCTTCATCGAAGCTAATTGTCATCAGTAGAGGTGCGACATTTTTATGTTATTTTTTGGCAACTTTTGCGTTTTGTTTTTCCGGATTTTGCATTATTTTGATAACGTTTTTGATAACGCCGTGGCCAGAGGTGGGCAGGGCTTCAATAAGACGACTTCGGCCCGGGTTCACCAACGTCGCTTAACTTTAAACTTTAATTCGTTCTTTGTCCCGTTCCAACTGTTACTTTAGAAAGAGGCGAAGAACGAACTAAGCTAAACTTTAAGCTAAACGACGTTGGTGAAACCGGGCCTTAATGTTTCGATAGAACAAGTTACGACATTTATTAAGGCTAAATATGCTAAAAAATGTAACATAAAACAACATATTAAAATAGTATGGAATAAATTACTGAAATTACATATCATTTTCAGGCTACAAAAGCAGTAACATGTCTAAAAAAAAAGTAAAGAAAACTAGTCTTAGGCATAAATCTCTTTGGTTTAGGATACAACATTGACGTTGGAAATGTTTACTAAGGAATATTGCAATTTTTGACGTTGTTTAGACGCTATTTTGCGCGTTGAGGATAATTTTGCGTTACTTTGCGTGTTAAAAACACGTCAAAACGAAGCTGGAGATTCCAAAATGTAAAGAAACTACATTAAAAACGTTCCTGGGACGCTTTGCGATATTTTGCGTATAAAGATAACATTAAGATGTCACGCCTCTGGTCATCGGTATTGAAAACCTTACCGTTGGAACTTTTCAGATCCCTGTGAATGAGACCTATGGGCGCCTTGTTGTGAAGATAGTCCATCCCTCTCGCAATCTGTATCGCCCAATCGACCAGCACGTCGGGCCTGATTTTCCTGCCGCTGAGAACTCGGTTGAGACTGCCGCCGCGGGCGTACTCCATCACGAGACACATGTTGGGCATCTTTAAACACACGCCTTCCAATTGCACAATATTTTCGTGCTTCAGCAACCAGAACAGCTTCGCTTCCTGCCGTACGTTTTCCAACGTTACACTAGGCTCCTCGCCCGCGTCTTGGCGCGCGGCCTTCACGGCTACCTCGCGTTTCTTCCAGAAGCCCCTGGGGAGAGGAAACGAATTCAATAACGACGGAACCTTCATACCTCCAAGTTATTTCTGGTGTTTCAAAAGCGATGCGCTGGGACCCGCTCCACGAAACGTAATGGCTCTTCGCGTATTTTACAAACTCGCTTACACGCGTACCTGTAGACCTTTCCAAACCCTCCGACCCCTATGACTTCTTCCAGCTGCAGCTCCTCGAAGTCGATCTCAATTGGGTGGACCTTGTCGATCACCGATGACACCCGGTCGATGCTCTCTGCCTCCGCGACGAAGTTGGCCGGAAAAATTCCCACCTTGCCGCGAATTTTCCCGGTCCACCATCCCTCGTCGCCCGAGATCTTGGCGTCCTTGGACAAAACCTGACACGGGGAAACAAGCATTGGTGTCTTGCAACAATCCCTCGCGTTTACGCCACGAAGGCTGCGGTCAAGCTGTCGCCTCGAATGTTTCGAAATCTCCCTCTTCCCTTTTCTATCAGAAAAGATAGAAGAGCGGCACTTCGGAACATTCGTAGCGGCGCGGTTCGACACCGCAACCTACGTCATCTGGAAACAAGCTACCTCAACAGTCTCCCCTCTCTGCAGGGATAACTCGTCTTCCCCCTGGGCGACATAATCGAAGAGGGCCGTGAAGATGATGGAGCTGTTGTCCTGCCGCGACTGGGAGGAGGAATGTGTACCGTGGGATGGACTAGTCTGTTGGGAGACGGTTCTAGCAGTTCCGCCGCTGTGCGTGTCAGAAACGCTGCTATCAGACATATTGTTGCTAGAAGTGCGTCCATATATGGACCCGTAACTGCAACAAGAGATTGTCATGAGTGCGCGGAACGTCTACGGCCGCCGGGGGAAACCGCTTCTCTTACCTAGTGGTGTGACTATTGGTTCTGCTGTTGTACTGGTACCGTGGCGACGAGTTGGCCGTGTTGGGACTATGAGGATGTGAGGAGCCATTCTCTGAGTAGAGTAGGAAACGCTCGCTCCGATGACGAGCATCCGGTTGTCCGTGGTCCATCAAGGTAGACAAGCCTCTCGCCGATAGCCCGGCTGGCGGCATATGGGCTCAATACTCTCCTCGCGCCTCTCTTCTGTAGCGTAAGTCACACCCGTTCCCTCTCGCCGCGCGATACCTTTGCCGCTTTGTTATGACGCGACGGGGAAAGCGCGAGACGCCTCTTACTGCTCCGCCTAATGTTTACCTCGCCGGCTCCCGACGCCAGGGATGCATCGGGCTCGAACGTCGAGCGTATTATCGCCCCGTCGCCGGGCGCATCCTCGACGACGACGACGTGACGCGGTCCCGTGGCCCTCCGGAATCACCGTCGGCCGCGCTTACGCCAGCCGCGCCAGGGCGCTGCGGAGTCGTACGATGCGCGAGCACGTCGGTGCCGCCGCGCCGCTTCCCATCGGAGATCGGGTGGCGCGCGCGAGGGGCGGCCGCGCGGGGCGGGAACGCGACGGATCCCCCGAGCTCGCGCCCTTACTGCCCCGCGTGCGAAAGCGATCTCGCCGCGGGGGGGACCGGCATTCCGAGGCGCGTGTCCGCGTATCCGTGTGTTGTGGTGGTGGTGGCGGCGGCGCCCCGCTCGCCCTACCTGGGGAACGCTCGCCGCGGGCCCGCGGCTCAACGGCGACGCGAGCACGGGCCGGGACGGCGGCGGTGGCGACGCGCGCTCGCGGCGGAACTCTGTCCCCGGGCTCGGTGCCTGCGCGCGGTCCGGGTGTGTATACCCACAAGCGCCCACTCTGTGTTGACGGGGGCTCCTCTGTCTCCTCTCTCTCCACCTCGCTCGCTCGCCTGCCGATCAATCGCGCCTACGGGCGGCCCCCCGAGGCGCCCGGGTGGCGGCGGGGTTCACGCGGACGCCCTCGCCGCTCCCGAGGACACGACGCTTCGCGCCAGGCCGGAGTCCGCGCGACGATGCCGCATTTAACGGTAGAAAAAGGTACGGCGCTCACAGCAATAACCTCGCGGACGCCATGTTTCGTACGACAGCCTGCGCGACGGCCCCGCCATCGACGTTGCGGCGACCCCGTAGATGGCCGCCACGCCGGTTGAGCGACTCCGCCGCAGGCGCCACCTGGCGTTGCCCGCGCGGACCGCCCGCCGCGCGGCGGGCAGTTCGAACGCGCGCGAGCTTCAACAGGTGCGCGCGGCAGCGCAAATCCGAGGCCGCGAATGCCTCGAAACGTTCTTCTCGGTTCTTTTGGCAGAGAAAGAGGAACGCTTTGAAGCGCTCTTCTCTTTCCTCTTGGTAGAGAAAGAAGAAGAACGCTTTGAAGCAACTACGGCATCAAGTGCGACCGCAGCCTGAAGCGTCGAACAGCTCTCTTGCGTTCGAGCGAGCGAGCGAGAGAAGACGAAGAGGAAGGTCGGTGTTCGTAGTCCGTTCTTATATTTAAGACCATCTTAAGTGTACTCTTAACGTGTTCTCGACCAATCGCAGAGCCGTAGTAGGCTCTTGAGACAACACTTAACATTTGTAACATTTTGAAACAGGAATCGACTACGAACGCCGGCCAAAGAGCACTACGAAATTTGTAATGCCGAACGCAGCTGTTGTCGCGAGTGTAATGCGGAATTGATCGAGTACAGAAGCGTTTTTATCGCGTGTCCACGTAGTGCGGTGATTTCGAACAATGTACTTTATTAACGATGCCTTGCTCCCAGCTGCGTTTGTGAATTTCAAATATTTACAGAGGTATTTTTTTACACTGCGCCGTCCGGATCGCGTAATCCAAACAGCATTAGGTAACTTCGGGATCAGCCTCGCTTCTGCATATTATAGAGATGCGCCTGCCCTTTGGTACGTGCCGCCCCTCAAAGTACGATTCCTCGGATTTGAGGATCTCGTGGTTGTACTTGTATCTCGCGACGCCGCTGAAATGCACGGACACGTCTACAACGGCGCCGGTAATAATTAAAACAGTAAGCCCGGGTCTACAATAGGTGTAGTAAGCCTTAAGCCGTAAGAAATTGACCAATCACAGTCTGAAGTAAGGAGAATAATCGCTTGTGATTGATCAATTATTACACCTATTGTAGACCCGGGCTAAGCCGCGATAAAATCGAACCTCATGATGTATAGCGACCTCCTTGGTAACAGGAAGCACGCGACGCGCTCTTTCTCGTGCTCTTCCATCGCTAGTCTCATCACGCTGTCGCTCAGCAGACTCAATCCTGCAATGATGCCCCCGCAGAACTGCAGAACGTAGAGAAACAATTAATAAAGTTCACAAGGCTCTAATGTGGAAACACAAATACGAAGTAATAGAGAAGTAAGAGCCAAGGCAGGATGTTAGTGTAAGTTGGTCTAAGTAATTTTAATTTTAAGTCTATTGCGAAAAATAATACCTCAGCCAGGGTTCCAACCTGGACCTCCTTCTCATTGGCGGGCGTCTCACCAATCCGGCCACCGAGGCATGTTAACATTCGGTCTTGGCTCTCGCTACTTCATAAAACGCTTATTGGTCTAGACTGTCTTGTGCTGTGCATAGGCAACTGTGCAATTTTCTGTGCGATGGCCCTAAATCCTAATGAAGCGTGTAAGGGCCATCGCAAAATTGCATAGCTGCATATTCATAGCACAAGAACCGTGTAAACCAACGAGCATCGAGCATTGAATCGTCGTATTGATTTACATAACATGCTCATTGGTCCAGATGGTCTTATGCTATGCATATGTAGCTATGCAATTTTCTGTGCGACGGCCCTTACCCTGACACTGTCGATATGCGGCTTTATCCATCCCTCGGGAGCCAAGTCCAGTATATGCACGAGCGAGAGGTGCAACGTTTCCGGCGGGAACGCCTCCCTGCGGACTCTGTCGAGGATCCGCGAGCTATCCTCGCTCCACTTCCTCCACTCGGTCTCTCTGTAGCCGTGTATCGCCTGCGAAGAAGATTCGAAATGTTTGCCAATTCAAGACGAATGACGCTCCAGGTAGGTAGACAGGCGGGGCGTTTACCGACATTGTCCCAGTGCGAGTATTCGTAGCGCAGCCGTTTCATGTAAGGGTCGACCTCCCGCACCATGACCTCCTCCTCTCTCTCGCTGACAAAATCCGGCAGGACCTTCATGGTGTCGTGCAGCTCCGCCCTCCAATCCTTGACCGCGCCGTCGCTCGACTCTCTCCTCGCATCGGAGTTGGAGCTGACAACTTTCTTGGCGGTAGAGCGGCAAAACGCTCTGTTTACATTGCGGTTCAGCGCGCGCACGATCATCTCTTAAATCGAGGAGCCTGTCGCGATAGTCGACAGGTTCTTCAGATTAGACGCCCGAGAACCCCACGATATCCCCTTCGCATCGTCAACCAACAACTACGGACTACGGGGTGAGTTTTGGTACGTGAACCAGTCCTTTTACCCTCTAGACGAGTTACCGACAGCACTTGTAAGTGACTCACCGGCGTATAGATGGCTGTAGGCCACCTCGTCCGAATCCATTTGCTTGTTTACAACCGATTAGAGTTCCCATACCACCGAAAGTGATGTATACGAATAACTATGTATAATTATCTACAGGAGTCTTTGTCCGTAACTAAATGTAATTCAAGCGACTAACAAAATGTCAGCTGTGTTGCCGAAAAACACATAGCACGCCGGAAACGAAGGACATAAGTGAAATCTATCTAAACGTTTAATACACTCGACGGAAAACATGCAGAACATTTTTATGAACAGTCACCGTAAATCACGGTGCTTCTGCAAACAAAGAGATTTAGACCGGACAGCCCACAGGGAGCTTGCATATTCATCATCTAAAAATCCTAGGAATCATTTTTTTACACGTAGAATCATAGTATCATATACTAGTACTTCATAATGGATTATAAATATAATAGCTGACACGTGGGTACAGTAATTTAGTAATAAGTAATATAATTCTGTGACAAAGACAAGATTTTGCGTCAATTGTTTGAAATGAAGTCTTATATTATGATAATAAATACTGGGCATGTATGAATTTAAGTGCTAATTATTTTTCTTCACCGATATTTCTGAAAATTCTGATGTCACTTGTGTGAGAGATGTATGAAACTATCTATGACCAAAACAATGGCAGTACCCGAGTGTCCCAGGCAATCTTGTATTCTCCCGTTCGTCGTGTAAGTATCGTGTATTATTCACATAATACATTGCACACTATTTTCCTGAAATTTCCTGTTCAACATTGATTGTCATCGTTTCTGTATTTTCTGCTTTATTAAAAATGCCAGGTATGGTCAAGGAAAGGTTGTTAATTACCGTTGGCGATATTGAAGATCATTCTGATTAGTTGATTTATTATCATTTCTACAACGAAATTGTTAAGTTCTTTATTTTCCAAAATTTGTGTTGTATTACTGTTGGGGATTGGGGGATTGCAACTGAAGACATTTTAGGTAATATTACAATTACTGCAGGGGTATTATATAAAGTTCCTGTGGTGAAGAAACCATTTCGGAAAAATATTTCTTTTCAGAGATGTTAGCGCGCGGACGTGTCAGCATGCGAATCTCCTCGTTGCTAAACAGCTTTCTTTGTCACTCTTGCTGTACAGAACTATTTAGTAGGATACAGCTTATAAGGATACAGAATTACAGAGCATTTACAGAATATATGTCTCTTATATGGATAAATTCATCTCTATAGTCTCTCTGTTATAAAGAAAGGAATATATTGAAGAATTCTGCAGTTAGCAAGATGTATTTAATACACCCAATTGTATGTACGAGAAATTTTTTGGACTGTAAGGCGAGACGAGCCGGCCCTGATACAGGACGGCCCTGTAAAGCTCACGGAAAGGCGCGAAACGTTCGCTGCCCAAGGCGCGTTAACACGCGCTTGACGCGTGATAATCGAATTTCATAACGGCACGCGCGCCGTCGGATCCATGGTGGAAGGGATTGGTCGGATCGAAAAGCGAGGTGACTCTCTTTCGGGAAGCAGTCGAATTCGCAACGTGAGAGGTCTATGGTTCATACCCAGTTACCGGGTGCAAGGGGAAAATCATTGCGCCGTAAGTTACAGCACAGACTTATTGAACTATTTGCAGTTCTGGCACAGAAGTGAACTTATTTTATGGACAAATAAATTTCAAAAAATATGTCGTAACATATCGTAGGCTATTTTTATTACTGTAACATAAAGAATATTTACATTTTATATATTAGGTAAGTGACGTAAAGTACAAACTTCCGGTATCCATAATACGTTTCGGAACACGTGCTCTTGAAAAGAAGGTTCCCGATTTACGCATGCGCCACAAGGCACGACCGCGAGATCAAAACATTCCACCGCTGCGTGTACTTATATACTAATTGTAAGTAAACCTGACCGTTTATTTAAATATAGCCAGATACCACTTTGCGTGTACTTCTCTGTTATAGATCGAACAAAGCCACGTCATATAACATAACGAGACCGGTCAGAAGAAATGGAATCAGAGACGAGTAATCAAGATTATGTCAACTACAACGGCATTTTCAACGCTACCGTGTGCCACGTTTGCAAACAGTTTGGTGATGACGTCCCTTTGATAAAGTGCAGTGCCTGCAAGTCGATTTTCTACTGCAGCAAGGAACATCAGATGCAACACTGGGAGCAGCACAAATCGTTATGCAAAGCCATAGTGGTCGTGACGCGAACCCACTACATAAACGGGTTCAGTAGATCAGTTATGGAGCGGTCATATGAGAAGAGAAGCTATATGCTGCTAGTGGAACGGAAGTTAGGACGTCACCTTGAGCTCTACGAGTTGTAAATGTTCATGCATCCAAGGGAGTGCGTCGATTGCTTTACACTGGTCGATCATTCGCTGAAGATTTGTAGAGATTGTGCCGCCAGCTACTGTGAAGATCACATTGACGGTATTAAGCATAAGGAAACTTGCGGTGCACTGGGGTTATATTTCCGTTTAAATCTACAGCGTATAAGTGGGAATTGCATAGTGGATCATGCTTACATTGCGTGTATTTCCAACGCGAATACGTTTGAGGACATGAAGGACTTTATAAAAACTTACGTGACACCTACATCGACTAACTCGGAATGGCCCTATGATATCCTGGAAGCCAGGTATTCGCCGTATATCACAAGTTCCTTAACTTTGTTTTATGCTACGCGATTATTTTTTCTGCTGCGATATGCAATCGGGCAATGTACAGCATTTAGATTTTAATTCTGGACCTACCATTACAATCGTCAGTGATGATACTTTTAATAAATGCAGCAAAACTCCCCACCCTATTAACTTATTTATTTCTGTGCAATTCGCGGCAACAACGTGAACTACTAGATCTTCGCGTTTTGGGACATAATCTAATAATTTAGATTATGTCCCAAAACGCGAAGATCTAGTAGTTCACGTTGTTG